AAATTAGTCGTCGAACGTTAAGCAACATATTCATAAAAAGTTGTCTAGCCAACGAATAAATAGATGTTTTTCGTCGCGTTGGTGGAAATTATGAAATAATCGCTTTGCGGGTGTGCTAAAACAGAATTTGCGCGACCAATTCTTCAGATATACCAAGATTTTTATTATAAAGATCAGCTATGGCGACCGAAACTACGAAAATGGTGAGTTTGATTTCTAGTTCATGGTAATTACCTGTGATTAGAGAAGCGATTAGAATTTCCTGCTGAAACTTTTAGGAACGTGGCAAAATTTTCACATTTTCGGTTAATTGTTTTTCGTTGACCTTGAACCAGCTTTTAATGCCCGGCAAGCCCCTAAGACTTTTAACGTCTTTTCGTAGCGAACTGTTGAGATCCGATAGAAACCTGGTTTGAGTTTAAGTAGCGCGTGGCAATCGAGTTAGGTAATAGAGTGTTATGTAAACAAAATGCTAAAACAAGTATCGCTGATACACCCTTTTTTATTTTATATGTTTTAAAATGATTATGAGATCAGTTTTCTGAAGGTTTTCGTTTAAAACATAATAATCTCTGGTTGGTCTTAAATTTAAAAATATTTTCCACTCCAAAGATAATACTTACTTATATGCACTTCCAATCATTTTGCTCTCTTATTCAGCAGCCCGGTTGAGTACTCAATCTATCAAGTGTCGTCATACTGTTTACACACCTACTTAACAACCCATGACCAGTTTTCATTATTGTACTGTTACGATATCTCTATTCCTCTTATCTGTTATCTAACTGAAGAAGCGCATTTTTGTGCAAAATCTTCGGAAATGACGCTGGCCTCTCCCCTCTCTTTTCCCCAGCATTATCTCTCTCGTGTCTGGCCAACCACCTGACCGAAAAATTAAATGACGACACCGAAAGATAACAATATGTACGAAATTATTCAGATTCAGCAAAATAATTACCGTACCCCAGGTTTCTCAAGGCAATTAATGGAAAGGCTTAAAAAGCTTAACTTTTTGCGAACCCGCCCAAAAACCTTTTTATTGAAGAGCAAATTTAAACACGTGCGATAAGCTTAAGTCTGGGATTTCCAGAAGCGCGAGGATCGCAAACAGACTTTATGGAACCTGGAAATTTCAGATAAATATTTGGACAGAAGCAGGTTGAAGTATTAAGGCCGTGGATTTGATGCACCAAGATCTACAGTCTGTAAAGATTTTGTGGAATTCGATATTATATAATATTATAATAGAATTTGTGTAGCCCTCCCCTTAACTTAGAAACTTGATTGCGCTTCCATTTATACTGTATCTCGATTGTACAGAACTCTATCTGATACCATATGTAAACAGCAGTTTATTGAACTAGCGTAAATCAAATTAATGAACCCCTTTTCGGTAATGAATGAACATGGTACAGATAATGCCGATAAATTTATTATATGTTTGTGAAACAATTGTGTACTAAGTGTCAACCCATTTTGTTCTACCCAGCGGGTCCAAAGATCTGTTGATTACTATATATTCGGAGTTCAAAATCCAAAACAAGAAATATGTCTGATGGGGATTAAGAGTACATTTAAGATATTTTTAGAAACCTCAAGCACTTTCGTTCTCTAACATTTGTTTACTCACATTTTGGCTCATAATCTCCATGTTACCTTGAAGAAAATACTTTTTTTTTGGGGGCCCCGCCCCCACACGTGACATGGAATGACGCAAAAGGAAAAACAATTGCAGACGTAGATCTGAAAAGTTTATTTCGATATATCCGAAAATAATGTATGCGTTCAATACGCGCAAAAATGTGGCTGAACTTTGCATTGGAATAAATTTGTGGCGTTACCTAATGTGACAAATAAAAATGAATTTTGTTCCCATCTTGATTCTTAATCGATATTTTTTCTTATATCGCCTTTATTTATTTGATTATGCTACAAAGTGATTAAATGTGGGTCAACGCAATCTGAGCCTTGATTTTCGGTTTGTTTTGTTTTGGCAGCAAAAAACGAGTTGCAAAAATCTTGAGACAAAATTTATTGACCAAAGTTAAACTGGTTTCGCTTTAAGCACAGGGGGGTTTCCTAAGTGAGAGCCCGTCTACGGATCTGTTTAAACTTCAACTTAAACTTGCACGTTTCATGTATAAATGGTCAAGCAATTAATGACCCAATATGGAAAAGTGCATCCAGACTAAAAACGAAAGAAACTGGATAGGAAACGGCTTTAATTCCAGAATGTCTTTCGACGTTCCTTAATAATAGAAAGCAAATGTTGGAGGAACTTAAAAGAAAAGCAGGTAATTAACTTGGCCCTTTGTAAGTTAATTGGAAGCAAATAAAATTAATTAACAACTGTTTTTATGTTAGGGGGTGCCGAGTGGTTAAGAACATTTTGTATTACGTAAGTCGTAAAAGGAAACTAAACGTATTTGGGAGTTTATTTTTAGTGATTTCAAAGGAATTTATCTGCACACATTTTACTAAAAAGGTTGAATTTTCCTACACTTGTATTTATGTACATTTGCCTTTAGAATTAACTTATGATTAATTAATGTATTGCATTTCATTATCGCCTTCCGTTTGTGCTCAATTAAACTAGACTTCGTTTTACTCAATGCAATAAAATGATCTCACTTGAGGCATTCGCTATGAAAAACTTCCCACATACATATAATATACATTTATGATTCATACAAATTTGTATGTATTAATAAATGAGCATTTTCTTGTTTATACAGCAAGATCAATGAAAATGAAAATGATCTGCTGTCAATGTGGCGCTTGCCTTTGGTGCAATTATCTCCCAATCTCCCTGGCGATATTCAATATGTAAGATATTTTTTCTGGCAGGTTCCTTAAAAGTTTACGTTTTCCTATAGGATATTATATTGATTTTCGGAATGCCTATGTATGTGTAAGTTTCTTAAGCGAGTCGTCCTTGTTCTCAATTGGGTCGATCCAATCAAAAATTTATGGTCAATTTCTATTCGACTTTGAAATTTGTTCGCATATTGATTTTTGCAAAGAGTGGTTTGGTTTCCAGTTAAACTGTAGACAGTAAAAAAACATATCCAAAACATTTCATTGTTCGATTATTTCCATAATAATAACAAAATAATTCGTTAGGTATTGTTTTAAAATACGCTTTGGCTAAACAAGTTTAACAGAGTTTTGTTTTATTATTAACTTATTTTTACATTTTATATTTCTGGCTAATGGTGAAGATGTGTTTTTAAAATTTAAATATAAAATTTCTTCCAACTTAATTAGGTGATTTTAATTTGCACACCATTTGTTGTTGAATTAGGAATAAAGAAAGTTATATTGTTTTTCTCAGTGTATCACTTTATAAAGAAACGTCTTGACAACAACTATTCAAATTCAAAGTGGGGGTCCTAAAAATAAAACTAATTTCACCACCTTCGATGAATCAGGAATCTTTAAGTATCTTACTTAAGCAGTGCCTCCCACTATCTTAACCGGTCACACTTATTTTTTATCAGCTTTTAGGAAAACCCCTAAAGTGGAGCATGCCAAATGCAGATGATAGAACATTTACACATGGCATGAACAGGAAAAGATTCAAGACCATTCCAGCAATCGATGACAGTGGCAACCACTTGTCACATTCATATCTTTTGTACTTGATGTAAGCGAACTGAAATTTTAACGGGCAAACAAGTTTCACGCTGATTTTGAGTTGACTTGTTGAGACTTTCCAGTGGATTCTGGACCTGTTGCCGACTTTCACCCAGTGAGTGGATGTCCCTCCCCATCGAGAAAGTTGCACTTCAATTAACCAGATTGCATGGGCCGTAAATCATCAATGCTTTAACTCGAGATTGATTTTAACATAATATGTTTAAATGTTTATTATAACTTGCTATCCACCTTACAAAGTTGAAACAATTATTATGATCTAGAACTCATTTATTTCTCTCAAAAAAGCTCTTGAACAAAAAACAAAGATTCTTCATTTTTTTTTTTTGTGTTTCTGGATAATAGAATAACTATTTATTTTTCTAGTTACAGGTTGGTAATGCAAATTAAATCGAATAAAAATGTTTCATACCATAATTTTACGAACATGGTTTAGTGATTTAAAACTACCTTACATTTCCTGGCCTGCAACAGGTGTGCACTGTTATTATCTTCAGGTGTCGCCAGGCTAATTAGTGAACTAAAATGCAGGTTGACAAGTCTGGTCTGGATTTTACAGCAGTTCCCGTTTGAACGGTCTAATGCTCGTTGTTTCTATTTCTGTTTTTGTTTTTGTTTCTGTTTCTGGTAACTTGCTCGCATTTGTTTTCTTGGGTTGCACATGGCAACGAGTTCCTCCTTCTCCTCCTCCTCCTCCTCCTCCTCCTCCTCCTCCTCCTCCTCCTCCTCCTCCTCCTCCTCCTCCTCCTCCTCCTCCTCCCCCTCTGCACCGTTTATCTCTCTACTCTCTTCGCACTGCTTGTGTGTCTGCTATCACGTCTTATGGCATTTCTATTCGAGTTTCCCAGTTTTTTTATTCCTGTTGCTTCTCGTGTATTGCAGTTTTTGTTTTGAGATCTTCTTCGCCTGTCTGCATTTTTTGTTAGGAGTGCACTCGTGACTAATTTTACCTGTCGGGGATCTTACAGGAATATTGGAACGAGAAAAAAAATAAAATTAAGAATAGCCTGAATTTTTAAACTAGTCAAAAACTAAGAATACAGCTTGTATATAACCTAAGGTCGTTACTAAAACCATTTACAAAAATTGTATCTTACTGGACATATTTTAAAAACTAATATCTTTGTTTCATACTCATTTCCTCCTAATTCATTATTGTATTTGGGATGACTTGATCGATATTCATTTACTATGATTTTTAAAGACCACGACATAACATTCCAAACCAAAGATTTGTGACCAATGCGTTTAAGCTTTGGTTTTTAAATGCAACCTTGCAAATCTTTAGCTTGTTAAGCTTACAAATATTAGTAGTATTTAATAAGAAATTAAACAGGGATGGTATGGAGGAGGATATAACCTTGCCACTTTCACCGTATTATATGTGATATATCAGCTAAACGAGTTGAATGAGAGGAATTATTCTTGGAAAGTGCGATTTAAAACCGGTCTCAATGCAGCTGAAGTCAGCGACCCCTGCATGAATGTATTTCATTTTTTCTCCGAGTGTATTGAAGCCTTTCTTAGGATGACCGTTAGACTCACGTTGTCATCGCTAGCCGCCCAAAACGTTCGAGTCTCGTCTTCTCTGCTCCCGCTCTCGCGCGCTCCCACACACACTGGTGCGAAAGACCCTACACCTACGTCGCGGCGCACCAACACGTCGACGGCGGGCGGTTGAAGCGGCAGAGCTATCGCCAAGTAAATTCAGTCGCGCATTTCACCGTTTCCGAATCGGACGAACCGAACCGGGCGTGTTTGCTCTCCTGCTGCTCTCGAGATCCGAGTCCCCACAAGGATAAATCCCCAAGTGGACCCCGAGCCTCCTGCCGCCAGTTTCGAAAAGTAAATAGAGTATTTGTTAAGAACTTGGAACCGAATTGGGACAAACCCAAATTCCTGTGGAGCCCAGCCAAACGGACTCTGCTGAACAACCGCCATGTGCGTCGTCGTCCTCTCTCTCTTTCTCTAAGCGATAAAAATACCGCGTTGCTTTTTGTGTTTATTTTAAAATTTTGGTTAGGAAGTGAACTCGAACTCGTGACGTTTGCATTTTCTCGACCAAACGAAAAGAAAACCCCCCGAGAAACCGTTGACCGAGTGCCAGTGTGAAGGTCTAGGCACAAAGAACCATGAGCAAGAATCTCTTGGGAGTGGGAGGCTACTTATAATATCAACAACGCCAGCACAGCCCTCAATGGTGGTCTCTCTAGAAATGCATTCTTCCCAATATTTACTTCTCCGCTCAGCGCTAACATCGGGTTCTTTGTCCCAACGGACTTCTTTCTCGCCTTTATGCCGTTCCATTCCCCTATCGAAGTGCACCTGAGGAAGAGGCAAAGGGGCGATTTGTACAGTTCGACTTCCAATAACTCGATTGGTTTTTAAGGTCCGTATTTTTATGGACCAAGCAATGTTCTTTTTTTTCAAAAGAAACCGTTCAAAATATTAGTATTAGAATTCAAAATGCTTAACTGAGAAAGAAACATTTGGAAAAAAATAATTTTTTAATTCCACAAAGTGTTTCAGCACTGGAACTTTTCAAGTGTCAGATGTTTCCACTAATTGAAGTTCCGCCTGAATGCGTTTTTCCACTCACTTGGAATATATAGGGCAGATCTAGATGCACTGGTGCGCTTCCTGTTCTATTTTCGTTGGTCTGACTTGGCCATTTCTACTTCAAGTTTTCCATAATGTTTACAATTTGCTATATGTTTGTTTGCCTTAAAGCGTGCAAAATTTTACTGGTAAATTTGCCGTAATTTTCCTTCACTCTTTCGAGAGAGAAATTTTCCATCTTCTCTTGATCAAAAATAATTGTTTTCAAGGGCCTTTGTAGACGGAAAGGAATGCATTGTGGTTCAATTTAATAGAAATTATTTTATAACAGACACATTAAGCTAAAAATATATGAGAATCTTAAAAGTTTTCCCATAAAAATACATAACATTTGGCACACGTAACTAATTTATTACTATATATTACTCAAATTCAGAACATCAGCCGCCAGTCCAATCGTTTAAAAACATTCACCGAATACGAGTTTTTAATTGCAGTTCATTAACAATCATTTATTTCGGGTTTTTTCCTTTTGGCTATATTTCATATGTTTCTGTAGTGATCATGCTATTGTATAATGTATCGTGCTTGGCGATCAGATCATTTCTTATCAATAAAGTAACGCGCGCATCCCACTAATCAATGAAATTTTCGGACATTCAGTCTGGCTAACATTTAAATTGAAACCTATCAGGTGACACTAAAAATATAACATAACATATAGCATGAAATGTTTTTCGTTACGTAATCTGATTTATTTACTTTTTTAAATATGTTCTGTTTTCTTTATATTCTCCGCTAAACCATTGAACTTAATGGATAATGGCCACATGTACGTAACCCCATAACAGCAGTTGTCAGTGAATTTCTGCGAACTGGGCTTCTTATTTATTGTATACGCAATCATCGCAGCTGTCATTACATAATAATTAATTTTGATATCTCTCAAGTCTCATTTATTATTGAAAACTATAAAAATCAAGGCTGTGTTATCTTCCTTTGCGATTCCAAGGCCTAGAGCACTTGATAAGGAAGTAAAATCAACCAACAAATTGGGTGTAAAAACAACTTAATAAATATATATTAAATTAGTCGGAAAGTTAGAAACCAGTTAGGCACGTTTATAGAATTCAGTCAATAAGTCAACTTGAACAAAACACTGCACTTATTTACCTGTTGCACTTCCCAACACAGTCGCTATAAATAAGTATTTTATTTGTTAGGGTTTGTTACTCTGTACGATTAACACAAGTGTTAATGAATTTATTTTAGAGTTTTTCTGAGCTAAGTACAAATACAAAATAATGATAAATTATAATTTTTATTGTTATTATCACATCAATCTCTAAATGAGTCATTTGAGTCAACTAAGGCGAAGTTCACACCACTCCGTGATTTTTGTTTCTATTTATCTATTCACACCTAATAAGCAGCATAATCAAATACCCAACTAATATATCAATGTATCGCAGAAGTGGACGTAGGATGGGGCTTTTATATGAAGATAAAACAATATCAGTAAAGAGGTGCTATATCAAGCAAGGGAAAAAATATATTTTGCGATTATCTTATTTTTGTTGTTTATATTAAGAAGTATAATGATTAATTATAATTATTATTTTACTCATTTTTTTGGTTGTAAAACTTTGAACTATTTGTCAAATACTTACTGAAAGTTGTTTGGATTATTTCTCTCCATTTCTGTTAGGTGTTTACTTTTCACATCTGTTTCTTAGAGGGGCCTCCCCTAGCAGGGTTTTTATCTTTTAAAAAATTGAATGAATAATATCCCCCTTTAAGCTAATCTCTCCCATGTCTCTGCTTTAAGAACTAATAGACAGTTAAATGTGCTAATTCGCCTATCTTTTTTGTTTTGGTTTCACTTTTGTTGACAATGTCAATGTCAAGTTCAAAGTACTATGACCATACCGCTGACATACTAATTGTTAGAACAATTATTTTAGCAACAGCTGGAACGACTTGTCAATCCATATTTGGTTTACCTACAATGAATCCATGCTAGTTCAGAGAATAGAAAATCAGAAATTGTGTTGTTCCGATGACCAGGGTTATTTACAATTGATATGCCGCACATTTGTTGGGGAAGTAAAAACGCTTGAAGGTGAAAAAGTTGAAAGAATTTCCAGAGATTCATTTACTGAATTTCAATTATGCTATGCTACACAGTGCATTAAACTCGGGAACTGCCCCTTCCTATTGATAAATATAAAATGGTTTGACAGTTTCCGCTTGTGTTGGAGCCAACCACAAATTGATTCTGAAAATGCGATAAAAATAACATGAAATGTGCATACAATTAACAAGGCATTTGTAAACATATTTTGCTGACGATTTCTGAAGTTCTCTAGCGATAACCCCGCCGCTTAACCTCATCCGAAATTCGAGAACACAATTACTTGTTGCCATGTGGTTGGTTGGGCATATGTGAATGAACTAAAAAGAAAAGTGAAATAAAAGACTGCAATTTCCATATCAAATGTATGCGAATGTCGTAAGGTGATTTGTCTGTTCACTTGAATAATTTTAATGAGTAATCGTCAGGCTGTCTTTTCGCAAAACCATAAGTACAGTCCTGCATTAACCTTAGTTTGACTAACCCATGCAAGTAGTAACTGGCTTTTGGTAACCTACTTATTGAAGAGATTCCAGCCGAAAAGGTTTAATTTTAGCCTTTGTATTTGTACTTTGGATCAACTTAATCGGCCTGCTAGCTAGGCTCCTCTGATTAGAGTCTAAAGTACTCATCTGTGACTATATATTCCCCTGCGGCATATGGCAAACACTTGAACTAGAAACTGAAAAGCCTTATCAATGGTTTGGCGTGGCTTTTATTTTTCCTATTATTTATTCTAGAATTGCGTAAAAAGCAAGTCAAGCAGTACATTGCTTTAAATAAACAAATACAAATACAAATACAAATAACGCGCATTCAAAATATATTCTAAAAATATGATCAGTAAACTCAGCCTGAATTTCATTTCTTACAGCATTAAAGTCACGATTTTAATGCCTTAATTTTTTCTAGTGCAATTCACTTTATATTGTTCACAGCTTTGTTTATATCTTTATGGCGACTAAATAGGCAACTGGATTTCTTTTTTAATGGACTGGTTTTTTCTTATCTGCAGTCAAATGTATGGCAAAACTGTAAAAATGAAAAATTAATGCGAATGTTTTGACTAACGAAGGAACAGCAGACGGAAATTATTTGAATATTTGCTTGCCAATGCATGAATAATTCGCAAAGTGGTCTGGATAAATTAGTCACATTTTAGATAAACAAAATTGATTTCTTGTTGTTTTAGTAGTTGGCTGATTTGGCTTTCATTGGATTATACAAATGTTTTTCTTCTTATCAATTTGTGGCTATACTTTTTATATGTATTTATATTTTGAAACAATAATACCACGATGTCTGTCAATGGTTATTACGTTTCAATAAATATTATTGTTCGACTTTAATTTAAGAACCTTTTCTTTATTCATTTGTTTACCGATCATTAATCGTATTAATCTCTTATTTGCACTTCTCTGGAAATACAACCTGTTACTCATCCGAATATGGTAATTTCGTAACATAAATTCGCCCCTTAACTTCCGCATTAAAACATTTTTAAGGTGCACTCAGGCGAAAACTGTGCTTATAGGTATTGAATATATAAGGCAATGCTCCTATATATAGCCTGTTTATTGATACGCTAATTTACGCAAATACGTGAGCATTTGAGGGTTCATAAATAATGTTTTTCCCCAGCTGGGTACACTTGTCCACTTGGAATGTGCCTCTCTCCATGACCCATTATTTCAATTAACTTGTAAACACTTTACTCCACTTATCGAAAACGCCCAGAGACAACAACAACAACATCTACTGTATCTATTCTCTATTATACTGTAGGTCTCTATCTTCGAATCTGTCGAGTGTGCCCCCAAGCGCCAAACAAAAGGCATTTGGAAAATTGTTTGTAAACGGGCCATTAATTTATTTACTGCGAAACAACAATAGCAATCGCCGGCAAATATTTCTTTGGTCCGTTGATGGTGGTCCTAGGACAATTTCATTCGATTTTAGTTGTGATTGTCTTGCCTGTCAAGCAGTTCAATTATCTTAGAATTCCTTTTTTCATCAACCGAAATTTAGAGGGAACTTTTGGTGTTCCGTGTGGGAAGTGCCCAACTATTATTAGTTGATTCCCCATATTATTGCTGTAAGCTGTCAGAAGTTGTGCTCGTACATTGCCATTATATATAATTGCGGTTTATTGGGTTCTAATTAGACTGACGGATGATACCTAATCTGGATTCAATCAACCATAAACTATTTTTAGAACAAGTTCTATACTGAGGTGGTGTGTTTTCTACGTAATACTGCATATAGATTTTTGCCCTCCTTAAGATTAATAAAATAATTCTGAAGCCTTCTCAGCCTTTTCTTGGCTCAACGTATCTATATAATAATTGTCACTCCAGTCAGTCACTTCAGAACGAGCTGAAAAATTCCACTCCCGAACGATGGGCATATATATATTTTGATTGCAGTATAAAGATGTAATAATTTATAGTATTTATATACCTAAGAAGGCGCGTGTATATGTATTCAATTTTTGATTGATATTCAGGGCACCCGCTGACGTAGATGGGCAATTCTCAATCAGATTGTTTGCTCATTGTAAGCACTATATGTGTAGGCACATAGATCGGTATACATATACGTAGGTATATAAGAATGTGATACAATATTGGTTCCACTTTATCAATTTGTGCCTCCTTCTCTATCTATCACTATGCTGGCGATCTTTCATCTCAGTCCCGCTATCAGAAGCAGAGGCAACAAGTTCTGTAGGTGATAGCACTTTATATAGTATATAAGCCAGAAAAGGGGGAGTGGCGCCCTCGGAGGGGTTACTCTATTCAGAGTTCTGAGAACCCAACAATGCTCGTGATAGAATTCAAATAAAAATGTTGTTAATTGCCGTGTGGAAATATTTTTCAATTAATGTCTGACTTTTGACTTGCTCGGGTGTAAGCTAACTAAAAATATACTTATTAACAAGGGAAGCTATAGAACTGTCTCCCAAAGCTTCTATATATTTCTCAAACAGAAATAAAGCAAAGCTTTATAAGGAATATTTACAAATTTGTCGAACGGACTAAGTTAATCTCACAAAACTAACAATCAAAAACAATAGAAAAACACAGTAGACTTTGATGATAGTTGATATAGATGTTAGAGGCGGGGCTGTCTATTTCGATACCTCTCGATCTCGTGCCGCTCAGTGTGAAATTAAATGCCTTCGTTCGTCGCCTATAAACAAAAGCAGATCTCCAATTACGTCTGACTTCAGCACACGAACAGCAGTCCATCAACAACAAAAGCAGTGTAGACAATATGTAAACAAAATAACAACAAACGAAATAACAACATTGGCGAAAAAATAAATAACAAGCGGAGATAAGCGCAGTAAAATGCTTCACAAAAGGCGGCAACTTGTTAAATAAGCTAATTAATTTTATTTATTTCACATATCTGAGTCGTTAATGTTTAGAATAAATATTTTAAAAAATTGTTAGCGAGGGAAAAATAAGATAAGATTGGTTTTTGATAGTTAATTTTGAAAGTTAATCTAATTAAGTTAAATAAATAATCTAAAAAAAAATTTAAGAATTATAGATGTGTTTTTTCAAAATAAAGTAGAATAACGTGACAAAGAAAAAAAATTATGATAAAGAACTTAAGTTAATCTATAAATCAATATTTTCTGACAGTTACACTTCAAAGTTTAATTCGGTTTTATATCGTAAGCCCTTTGTCCAAAGAAAGTTTCAACTGGTCATCATTTATATGATATATCTATGGCACGTGAGGCGCCATATCTTTCAGGCAATAATGTATAATTTCTGACGACGCTTAACTTTGTGTTGACAGTCAATGGCCTCTTTAGAGGTTGCATGTGGCACGCCACTGATCCATTTTGAGTGCCTATCTGTCCCTGATGGTTTGCCCCAGGAAAGTTTACAAATTTTATGTTCGTATCATTGACATTGACATTGCTGTTGTGGGCGGCGTCTTCTATACCGATCTATAATTAGTGGGTGCTTTCGTTTAGATGTATCTACAAAACCATAAATACATAGGCTCATCGAAAGGGTACAAAAAATGAGTAAGGAATGGGTGTGTGCGGCTCTGTTATTATATTTGTCTGGGGCTTAATGGCTTGATTGATTGTTGGTTTTATGCCGATAAGAGGGGCCTCGCAGGAATCAATGATTAGGACGTGCCTCCTAACCCAGAACGTGAGGGCTACTCTACTCACATGTGTTTTATTTCTGTTTGTACAACTTTTGCATAGATTACCTAACGACAGGAGAACTGGTAGCTGGGCGATGCCGTTCATGAAATAAAATACAGGCCAACTGTCGTCATGAATATGCGGCTACAAAACATCCACTAAATATATAGTATATATTCCACACCATCCAAGCACCAGACGTTGACAAATTTTCTAGCACAACTTGGGCATTTTCGTTCCGTTCCATTCTTTTTAGCTTCCATTTTACTGTAGGCTCTTTATTTTTTCGTTTTCGCGAAAAGAAATTATATCACGCGCCTGATTTCCATATGCTTCTTTATTTATTTATTTTGTTTTGGGTGCGATGGTGTGCTCGTTTCAAATGATTTTCAATTGGTTACGTTTGGGCTGGCATATATATTGATGGATGGCATTTTAATGAAGCGTGAAACGATGACAATCGGCCGTTGGGTTCGGTTCGGGGTTCACTTTACTTTGGGTACGACGACATGGCAACAAGTGGTTCGGCTCCTTACAAGGGGGCTCGTTCTTGATTTTTGAGAATTATCAATTGATTTCTATTTTTCTGCTCTATTTGTTTACAGATCTACACGCCACCGCCGCTGGACATCAAAATGGAAATGTAAGCATTGTGAAATGTGATAGTTGATAAATGGCAGGCAAAATGATGAATTGGCTTTTATTTATAAAAGAAATAAATGTTGACGAAAAAATAAATAATTATTTTATCAAAATTAAGCAGGAATGAATGGCCACATTCCTTTTATTTTGTTTCCAAACAAATAAATGCCAATTTTTTATTCTTTAATGATATTATAGATAAAAGTAATAACTCAAGATAAAAAGTAATAACATATTACAGAAAAGTATTCCTTACATTACCTTTAGAAAACTTAAATTTGATTAATTCTTTGTAAATAATTTTTGAATTTTATTTTATCCACAGTGAAATTGGAGAACCACCCCAACCACCGGTTAAGTGTTCCAACTTCTTCGCCAATCATTGGAAAGGGTTAGTGGTCTTTCTGGTGCCTCTACTATGTCTGCCCATTATGCTGTTAAACGAGGGCGCCGTAAGTTTGAATTTCCCAAAGATGTCTACCGGATCTATAAGCTAATTGTAACTATTTTTCAGGAATTTCGTTGTATGTACCTGCTTCTGGTAATGGCCGTGTTTTGGGTGACTGAAGCCTTGCCACTGTATGTGACCTCCATGATTCCCATTGTCGCTTTCCCTGTAATGGGTATAATGGTGAGTCTCTATTAGATAAAACATTCTATATAAAAGTTATAATCCTTTTGCTTACCACTTTTAGAGCTCCGATCAGACGTGCCGTTTGTACTTCAAGGATACGCTTGTTATGTTCATGGGTGGTATTATGGTCGCCCTGGCTGTGGAATACTGTAATCTGCACAAACGTCTCGCCTTGAGGGTAATCCAGATCGTGGGCTGCAGTCCCCGCAGGTAATATAAACTTACTCTTCAAAATGGTCAATTTAAATCCTAATTAATTGCTCTTTGTACCCCTTTTAGGTTGCACTTTGGCCTGATTATGGTTACAATGTTCTTGAGCATGTGGATCTCGAATGCCGCCTGCACTGCCATGATGTGTCCCATTATCCAGGCTGTGCTGGAGGAACTTCAGGCTCAGGGCGTCTGCAAAATCAACCATGAACCTCAATACCAAATTGTCGGAAACAACAAGAAAAACAACGAGGATGAGTAAGTAGCCATAATTTCAATTTGTACTGTAAATAATTAAATTCTTACTTCTTTTTTAGGCCGCCATATCCCACAAAGATCACTCTTTGCTACTATCTGGGCATTGCCTACGCCTCCTCTTTGGGTGGCTGCGGAACCATCATCGGAACTGCCACCAATCTTACCTTCAAGGGCATATACGATGCTCGCTTCAAGAACTCCACCGAACAGATGGACTTCCCCACCTTCATGTTCTACTCTGTGCCATCGATGCTGGTGTACACCGTTCTGACCTTCGTGTTCCTGCAGTGGCACTTCATGGGTCTGTGGCGTCCCAAGAGCAAGGAGGCTCAGGAAGTGCAGAGGGGCAAGGAGGGCGCCGATGTGGCCAAGAAGGTGATTGACCAGCGCTACAAGGATCTGGGCCCCATGTCCATCCACGAGATCCAAGTGATGATTCTGTTCATCTTCATGGTTATCATGTACTTCACCCGCAAGCCGAATATCTTTTTGGGATGGGCCGATTATTTAAATACCAAGTAAGTGGATATATAAGTTTAATTTTATTAAATTAGTTTTACAGTTTATTTCTTCTCTGGTAAAACGTTTTTTGTCCTACTTAAACTTCAACTATAATTTATTTATTGTTTAAAAATATTCACACTCAAGTTACTTTAAATATTACGTTTAATTTTTAAATGACAACTCTAAAGGTTGACAATCAGCTCAAAAATTATGAAATACTTAACAGCCTAACTAAAAGTTCCTAATTTGTTATCAATGTTTTTACCTATAAATATCTAAAAATTATTTCACATCCGTCTTCTACTTTTCCAGGGATGTTCGTAACTCTATGCCCACCATTTTCGTAGTGATCATGTGCTTTATCTTGCCTGCCAACTATGCCTTCCTGCGTTACTGCACAAGACGCGGTGGTCCGGTGCCCACAGGTCCCACTCCCTCGCTGATCACCTGGAAGTTCATCCAGACCAAGGTTCCATGGGGTCTGGTGTTCCTGTTGGGCGGTGGATTTGCCCTGGCCGAAGGCAGCAAGCAGAGCGGCATGGCCAAGCTGATTGGTAACGCATTGATTGGCCTAAAGGTCCTGCCCAACTCTGTGCTCCTGCTGGTGGTTATCCTGGTGGCTGTGTTCCTAACCGCTTTCAGCTCCAACGTGGCCATTGCCAACATCATTATTCCCGTACTGGCTGAGATGGTGAGTTTTAAACAGTGCATGATCTCCAAGATATGGAGTAATTTTTAATGTTATCTTTCAGTCCCTGGCCATTGAGATTCATCCACTGTACCTGATCCTGCCCGCTGGATTGGCTTGCAGTATGGCTTTCCACCTGCCGGTTAGCACACCGCCCAACGCTCTGGTCGCCGGCTATGCCAACATTAGGACAAAGGACATGGCCATCGCTGGAATTGGCCCGACCGTCATTACCGTCGTCACACTGTTCATTTTCTGCCAGACCTGGGGCCTGATTGTCTATCCAAATCTTAACACTTTCCCCGAATGGGCGCAGATTTATGCCGCGCAAGCGCATGGCAACCAGACTATATAGATAGTTAGTCATTAGTGTAACGTAACACACAGACCGCCGCAGCGATGAAAATCATAATACTTTAGGGAATTGTAAAAGAAAAGTGCCTTTGCTGACTGCGAAAAATGTGCATTTCTGAATTGCGAAAAGTTTTGATACAAAAAACATTACCTATTGTTTAGCAAAACGTGTTGAAAAGTTTTATCATAAAATACTGTTAAACAGGACTTGAGATCCTGGTTCACGGACTCAGCTAAATATTTAAATACAAATTAATGTTACTTAATTGTTGCATTTAGCAAACAAAAAATTCAAAAATGCGGGGAAATTATGTTCAACGGCAGCACTGGCTTGCCAATGGTTTTTATAACTAGACTGAGAAAACGTACATATTCATACACGTTTTGCAATTTGTAAAAAAAATTAAATATGAACAACTTACTCAATACTTGATTGCGAACCGAAATAAGCACACAAATAGCCTTAGTCTAAGCTAAAATAATACTTTGTAAATTTTCAAATGATTTATGTTTTATATAGTTTGTAAAAAATATCAAATAATAAAAAGCTCAAACGACAACAAGCGGATAGTTGATTTAATTTCAGATATTCATTTTTGAAAAATTAAAGTGCGCGCCGATTATTGTGTGTAAGTATCGATAGACCTCGTTAATCGATAGGTTGCTGCCCTGCTAGAGATGAAATTTTACGTTTTACTTTACTGGCACAGTTTTACAGTCACTGGAAACCTGTTGCTGAAATAATACGTAATACATATGTCATCTTCACGGATGAGGAATTCAAAACTTTAAATTCAAAAAGAGAAATTTTAATTTATCGGCGGACAATTTTTGGCTATTACAAAATTTAAGAAATTTTGGTTGTAGACGAAACCTTTCCTAAAGAGAATGTAGACTCCCCGGTTAAAAACGTTAGTTAATTTACACCGAAACCAAATCTTTAAACTCTTTTTTACCTTCACCATTTTTTTTAGATTAATTAATTAGAAGTTATTAAATTAAAAGCCTTTAAAATAAAATGTTTTTCTAAGATTAATATTGTGAGCGTTTTTGAGGTTTCAGTGTTTATACAGACGCACATGGCTAGATAGACTAGCTACTGATCTAGAATATATAAATATACTTGATAGGGTTGGATCCTTCCTTCAATCAGCCAATTAGATCCTGATTTATGTTTAAATTCCAGAAATGTTTATCAAAATATAAAGAATTTATTATACATCCATTGCATATAATTGTATTTCGTGTATAACTAAGACAATTTTGAATATCAAAACAAGACAAGACACATTATGTGGTTAAATCAATGTTAGCCCGCAACCAAAGATCCGAAAAGCGTGTAGCTTTTGTTAGTCAATTTCGGGTGGTGTTGAGTTCCAGATTAGATTAATCGTAATTAAGGTCAATAACCAAATCGGATAGGAGAGAAATACCCTCCGCTTAGAATTTCGAGGACTTGGCCAGGTTAAGTTCCTCGGTCAGCATGCGACCGAAGTCGGCGTGCACCAGGGTGAAGTTCTTGACGGCACGCTCCTGCAGAAACTGGCTGGCGTTGCTCAAATGACCGGCAATGTTCTGCACCAGGCGCTTCTTGGCGCACTTGTCCAGCGTGTGTACCCAGAAATCGGTGACCTGGCCAAAGTTATCCTCCGTATCCCCGCTGCTGTAGCGGTAGACATCGCCAGTGACGGGACAGCAAGAGGACAAAGCCCTCGCACGGGGGCATTCCTGGGGACCGTTGAAGGAGTTGGGGAAATAGTTGGGGGCACCGTCCTGGTTGTCCGTAACATTCATGGGTCCATCGCGCTGGAAGTTCTCCACCTTCACCTTGTAGGGGCAGTTCACAGGGATCTGCAAGTAATTCGGTCCCAGACGATGGCGATGAGTGTCCGAGTAGGAGAACAGACGACCCTGAAGCATCTTGTCCGGAGAGGGCTCAATGCCGGGCACCATGTGAGCCGGGCTGAAGGCAATCTGCTCCACCTGCAAGTAGGGATAAATACCCAAAAATTAATACAGAACTTATAATCTCTAAGCTCTAAGTTAAAATACACATCTAATTTTGATATTTTTTAAAGATGAAGTTATTCATATCATTTTGATATGAAAAAAGATAATTTTAATCTTTTTTTTATATTATTTGATCAAAAAATACTAAATTCGGTATTTTTATGATATGATAAAATATCATGTTGATATGTTTGAATCTTAAATCTGACATAAATCATATCGGCTTTTTATTGATATGGAATAAGGTAGAAATAACCCTATTTCATATTGGTTTTTTTTTCTGTGTATACGCTAAATAAGGACAGCCGTTTTTGAGCTAAGGTAGACCAAAAAGTCAACTAATCTACAAAATAGTAACAAACTAATAAGTTTCCTATGCTAGCACCTATAAATAATTGAATTAGCCAACAAACCTCAGCGAAGTAGTTCTTGGGGTTGCGATCCAGCACCATCTTTCCCACGGGAATCAGAGGGAACTCCTTCTGGGACCAGACCTTGGTCACATCGAAGGGATTGTACTTGAACTTCTTGGCTTCCTCGAAGGTCATCACCTGGATGTACATCGTCCAGCTGGGGAACTTGCAGGTCTTGATCCTGTTGTACAGATCGCGAATGCTGTAGTCCGGATCGGTGCTGGCCAACTGGTCGGCGGTCTTCACGTCCAGATTCTTGATACCCTGGTCCGTCTTGAAGTGGAACTTGGCGTAGATGGGCTCACCCTTGGCGTTGATCAACTTGAAGGTGTGCGAACCGTAGCCGTTCATGTGGCAATAACCATCTGGGGTGCCGCGATCGCCGAACAGGAAGCACACCTGGTGAGCGGACTCGGGACGCAGGGTGAGGAAGTCCCAGAACATGTCCGGATCCTTCAAGTGCGTCGTGGGGTTGCGCTTCTGGGTGTGAATGAAGCTGGGGAACAGGATGGGGTCGCGAATGAAGAAAATGGGTGTGTTGTTGCCAACCAAATCCCAGACGCCATCCTCCGTGTAGAACTTGATGGCAAATCCTCGAGGATCACGGGCCGTATCCGCGGATCCACTCTCACCACCCACCGTGGAGAATCGCACCGCCAGGGGAGTGCGCTTCTTGACCTTGTCGAAGATCTTGGCTGCACAGTACTTGGAGATGTCGTGGGTCACCTCAAAGTATCCAAAAGCACCGGCGCCCTTGGCGTGCACCACACGCTCCGGAATCCGCTCCCTGTCGAAGTGGGACATCTCATCCAGGAAGTTCACATCCTGCAGCAGAATGGGACCCCGGGGACCCACCGTCTGGCTGGCGTCCTTGATTCCAATCGGTGCTCCATGGCCTGTGGTAATGGCTCCAGGTGAAACCTGGAAAATAAATCAAATTAAGTTAACTTTAGTTGCTTATAATTTCAAACTTTAAACTTTTTAAACTATTATTTACAAAACCAAATTAAAAATTTAATTTTCATTGATTTTGCCTCAATAATTGGTAAAAATTAGTAACCGTGCTTCAAAGTGCATTTTCCTAACTTTCCGTTATATAATATCAGTTCAAAGTGTCGTCTAATCTTATCGGCACTTAAGCGATAATTCTTTTTTGGGCTGCGGACTTTAAATTTTTATTTATAATCGTTGGGCTGCCACGAAAAACATAAACATAAAGATTGCAAAGCTTTATCTCTTCACGGGGGGTCACTTTGAGGGGCATTTTTGCAGTTGATAAATAATTGCTTAGAATATTTGATAAAAATAAAAGGGAATCAAGGTTTTAAAACCTTAAACGTTAAAACAAACCAAGGATCTTTGGCATATTAGGCATTTAAAAAAGAATATCCCCATTCATACTTAAGATCAGAGATCAATAAATTCCATTAAGCTAATAAAACTGTCTTGTTTAAGCTGAAATTTCAATTAGCCCACTAACTGTCCGTCATTCATCACCCGATATAATCTGTGTAGTCTAAAGTGTCTCCAGCCTCTACTCCTCCTTGTTTTCAATTAATTTCCCTGGAGTAATCAGACACCGCTCCTTAATCACCTTATCGTTTATTTCGCATGCAAGCCAACAAGTCATTATAAAATTAAGTCAGCCAACAATTTGCAAAACTGTCACCGGTTAATGCGCACTGTTTAGCTAATGTATTTGAAACCTGACAACGCCATGCGAAATTCTAATTTGAAAGCATTTCTAGAACAGTGCATACAGAATTTTATATATGTAGAGGGAAGGTTGTTTATCAAAGTGAAGCCTCTGGTGATGTGTCAAACATATAAATTAGGCTGCTGTTTATATTTCACAACAAAGTCGTTTAAATATTACTCAGGTGGGATTACTGGTGGCGCGATAGCACCAAAGTATTTAATTGTTTTAGGAATTAGTTGGCTCTCGACTTTATCAAATCTTGATTCTTGGAAGGCGAATGAATAAAAGGGCTCGGCGTTTATTAGCGTTTTAAAATAACGAAATTTACCTGATGTTGCCTATTGGTATAATAAAATAATTTAAATCCGATTTCAAAAATGCACGAATTTAGTAACCATAGGTTTTAAGTAAAAACAAATAAATAAAATTTCTAAATTATCATTTCATTAGCTGACCTGTTTGTGAGCTCGCCTTATAAATTCTTAATTTACTGAACACCTCTATATACATTTCTAAAGCTTTCTGCACTTGTTTGTTCCTTTTTTTTGCCCCGATTCAATCAGAATGGTTTGCACTTTGAGACAACAATATGGGGCCACTTCAGGGGGCAGATACGAAAAGTGAAGCAAACCGGGAATGGCAATGAGAGTGGAACTGCGCGATCCACGCCCCAACAAGTCAATCTGGTTCCTATCAAAACCTCCCTGCGTATGTGGTTGTAGATATCCCCCAGCGAAGAGCAAACTGATAAGAGAACCTCGCCCGATCTAGAAAAAGAATGCAAAATACACAGTCTACAGGAAAGTTTTTAATTGCATCTTGTCGGAGTTGCCAATGACACAAAGAAGGTAAACAGCACCGTAATGAGGTAGCTTTATAAGATCAGTGCATCTGATAAATGTTGGTAGAGATGACTTTGTTTTCGAGATATCATTTATCATTTATATCATTATGAAGGGTAAAAACAAGTGGTTTTATTCTGATGTTTTTTTTTTATCATCTTTAAGATCTCTTGATATATTAACATAATATTTAAAAAAATTAAACCAACAAAAATAAGCTTTTTTGTTTAAATAGATTTCCTTTTTCCATTTTATATTTTCTAATATTTTCCCTGCTTCGACTAATGAATGACCTTCCGCAATGCTTTAGGTTTCAACGCTTGCTGGAAAATCGCCCTGCATTTTTTGAATTTCATGGATATCACTATGGACGGCAGTCCATGTAGTGACGAAGCGCACCAGGAGAGTGTGCGAAGGCGACTACTATATATACACGAAGAAATGAAAATCTACTGTGATGGTCCGATCATAATGAATGATACACCTATCGAAAGGTATTGCAAAAACTAACAGGATTGCATACCAAGACTCTAAGAAAATCAATTGGCTTGGGAGAGAGAGCGGTGAAAGTGAAAAAGTGAAAATTTCGAAATTTG